TATATATATATATAATATTTTGGGTTGGTATTTGAAGCGAACAGATGGCAGTAGATGAGCAAATAGGAACCTAAGACATGTAATTATGCAGTTACACTTCCACTAGCTTGTCTTTTTCCTTACTAAACCAGCAAATACAAATATATTATCATACATTCGTTTACAAACACAGTGGAGAAGTAAGCAACCTTCTGGCCATAACCTCAACCAAAATATATTTTGTATTCATAGCTAAATAAAACAATTGAGCTGGAGTCAAACCGTTCCTAACAGCTAATTAGCACTGACCACCAGAATGAGGCTCTTCCAACTGACATTCAGCTTTTTTTTTTAAGTGCGCAAGTGTGAGTCGGCAGCTTCGGCCTGGCCTGAGTAAATCTAACATATTACAACAAGTTAATTTCATAATCAAATATGACATTAATAAAAGTGATAATTGCAGGTTTTGTTCATTTCTGGTGTTATTTTAAGAGAAGAGACGGCGGTAAATCAGCAAATTGGAGCCAAGTAGTAAGACCTATTTTGAGAGGCGGAGCTGGTCTTCTCCATTCGGCGAGGCGTGTTCGTAATGAAAGGAGCGCGTGAGCGGCGCTTGCTCTGACTTCCTCGCTCATCGGCAGCTACATTGTGTGGAAAGCAGCACGTTGTTGGCTTCTGCACGCTGAACTTTACGCCGAATAAACGTTCTCCTGTTCAAGGAGAAACCGGATTCAAAGCTACCAGATATTCTCTCAGACGTCTGTAAGTTACCCCAGCTTGCGAAAACATGTCGGCCTCGGCGGCAAAAGTGAGTAAAAAGGAGCTGAACTCAAACCATGACGGAGCGGATGAGACCTCCGGTAAGGGGAATGGCGGCCTCCTGTTCACCGCCATTTTCACTTTCTTCTCTTAACATATTTTTGCATTGCCACTTAGTGCATTATTCTTGCTAATTATTTTGTGCACTGCTTTGATTTTTGCATCACTCAACGGGAGCTTCTTCATGGCTGGCCACGGCGGTTGCTGCGTGTATTCGCGCTGCGCTAACGGTGGCTAGCTCCGCAGCTAACATGCTGCTGCTCTTGCCTTCTGTTGTTCAATTCAGACCGGTGCTGAGAGGCCATGTTAGCTCCTTAATTTAGCATCATCAGCGTGGCCAGTGATGTCGAAGGCTCCTAACTGAGTGTCCGTGTGTAATCTTGGAAGAATATTTTTTCTGTGTTTGGGAGTAAAATCACTTCACACTATCCGATAAAGGGTTGCAGCTAATTATTTTTTCTTTTAAAAGGGTTAAAGTTGGCCGTTTCAATTAGCAGTTAGCCAGCCTGTGTGTTGTTGTTGTAACGTTACCTAATGCTAGCTGACGACGCTGTGTTTTGTTACCGCTAAAGATGCATTTAAATCAAGTGGTCACGCAGTCAGGTGAACCGGATAATTATATTATGTGGACGAAAACACATAGGATTTCTACTGTATGGGGGACGGTTTCACAGTAATGGGGGGGTATTCTGGCATCTGTCCCCGGTTTTGGTCCCTCATGTTATCGCGGCTCTGTGTGTGTGTGTGTGCACTCAGATGTCCCACATTTAAACCACGCGGCCTTATAGGTAGCAGCCGGCAGGAAACGGTGAGTGTCTGAGCCGCTAGAGCTGCAGCTATTGGCCGCTTACCTTACGTTAACCTCCGGGGGATTCAATCAGCCATATATCTTTACTTACACTGTACTAACGCAGAATTAAGTTGGGTTTTATTTGTGCTCCGGTAGGTGTTGGTATAAAATCACATTTGGTGTAAAAAGGATTTTCAGATAATGGCAAACTTAGTTTCTCTGTAAAATAAGTTTGTATGAAGGACTGACTAAAAGTAAAAAATAAATAAATGGATAATCGAGGTCCTACTTGACTGTTGCTGTGTGTAATTTGCATATAATAATCTTAACATTTCTTTTGTTTCCCACAGAGAAAGAGCAGCAAGAAGCTATTGAACACATTGATGAAGTTCAAAATGAAATTGACAGGTAATAAACCTTTTAAGCTAAACGTTTCCGTATAGTGGTAGATTTTCTGCCTTGTAGAAATCTCGGTGATGTTTTGATGAGAAGAGGAACTATGTCGCTAAATTAACATGCTGCAATCTGGAAACCTGCATAATCACTGAACTGCATTAAGATGCAGTTATTGTAGTGTTAAGATAGCCAGAATATTAAATATGACATAGCTTAAAGTGGAAGGATTGAATAAATTGAAATGCAAGGCAGCATTGTTCATTGTGGTGAAAATGACACAAGAGCATAAAGTAAAATATGAATTAAATATGATTAAACATCTAAATATAATTCAGTGAGGAATTTAATAGGCATAAGTCGAAATGTAAATTGGGTTGTTTTGTTGTAAGGCAGAGTTTGGGCTTTATAAAAGTTGTGGATCTATTAAAGTTGAAGAAAAATGAAACCTTTCTTTTAAATTGAATGGTTTTCCTTAAATTTTAAGTACAACTCGAATGAATGTGAATTGAGCTAAATTGGATGATGTCCCAAAAGGTAAAGTGAAAGCATATGAGACAATAAACCCTTTTTAAATAATCAATAAATCCAAAATGAAAATAAAGTTTGGGCACAACACTGTCCACTGTTGGACACGCATATGTGAATAAATATAGCATTTATCTATATGTTGACATTACACTTGGTTACCTGGATTGTGCAAATTTTAAACTTCTCTTTTTCTTGTTCAGGTTGAATGAGCAAGCAAGTGAGGAGATCCTCAAAGTAGAACAGAAATACAACAAACTCCGTCAGCCATTCTTTCAAAAGAGGTCAGAACTGATCGCCAAAATCCCCAACTTCTGGGTCACCACATTTGTCAACCATCCACAGGGTAAGCAGATAATCTAAGAAATTTTATTACTTTAATTTGTCTATATTTAAAAATTGGCATCACAGTGCTAAGTGTGAGTGATGTGGACAGTGAATCAAGTTTTAAATTTGTATATCCATATGTTGTTCTTCCTACAGTATCAGCCCTACTGGGGGAGGAAGATGAGGAAGCGCTTCATTACCTGAGCCGAGTGGAGGTGACAGAGTTTGAAGACATCAAGTCAGGCTACAGAATAGATTTTGTAAGTGTTTAATGGTGTCACGTAACACTTTGGTGACCTATTTTTATTTTTTATTAAAATTATTTTTCCTTTATTTGCAAGTTTTCTTACCTGGGTGCATTTTTAATTTTAATTTTTCCTTTTTTTAGTATTTCGATGAAAATCCGTACTTCGAAAACAAAGTTCTTTCCAAAGAGTTCCATCTGAATGAGAGCGGAGACCCCTCTTCAAAGTCAACAGAAATCAAATGGAAATCAGGAAAGGTATGCACAGCTTTCAGTTTGTCAACCAAAGTAAATGAGTGGATCACCACTCTGACCTATCATGTTTATCAGTGCCAAATTTGAGCAAGCTCATTGACTAAACACTCACGATTGACAGTACTCCTGTTTGACTTAATGAAGTTATTTTTTTTTGTTTTGGATAAGACTTTAAACCTACAACTGGGACCATAGACTCATCAGTGAGGTGTTTACTGAGACCAGAGATAAGTCAGAAATGTGATCATAGGGAGTTGCCCTCTGCTGGCATTTAGAAGTAATGCAGGTTAAAGACTACTCTATTTTCATAACCCAGCGCTATTAAATCTACAGTTTATAGATTTTATTCAGAATTGTAGTGAGTTTATGACTTTTATATCTCACATTGTTAGTTTTAAATGTAATGTGCTGATAATGGGTAGTGCTGAGAATTTTTTTTTTTTTCCTGTACCAGTCACAAACTATTTGGTAACTCCTGATGTTTTTAGGACCTGACCAAGCGCTCCAGCCAGACACAGAACAAAGCAGGAAGGAAGAGGCAACACGAAGAACCAGAGAGCTTCTTCACTTGGTTCACTGATCATGCCGACGCGGGCGCTGATGAGCTCGGGGAGGTCATCAAGGATGACATCTGGCCAAACCCTCTGCAGTACTACCTGGTATGTTTATGATGTTTAGTCTGTATTACAATGTTCTCACATCTTTCATCAATCCATGAAATGATAACAATGTAAGAACCAGAGCAAGAAAATGCTTAAGATTTCCTCATCTCTAGGTTCCTGATATGGAGGATGAAGAGGGTGAAGGTGAGGAGGATGAAGAGGATGAGGAGGGTCTGGAGGACATTGATGAGGAAGGAGATGAAGATGGCGAGGATGATGAAGAGGATGATGGAGAAGACGGAGAGGTAATCTACTAAAAGCTGAGAAAATTGATGTGAGTGGTGCGGGGTCACCTCCCCTCCCTCTTCACTTGCTAACTGTGTGATGTCTCGCTCTTTCAGGACGACGAGGGAGAAGATGACTAAGAAAACCACCATTTACCAAGACCCTCAACCTTCTATTCCCTGTTCAGTTTTTCCACTCATGTTCGGGAGCAAAGGTTTTATTTTATTTTTTTTTCTTTTTTTTTTTTTTTTTAATCCGTGTGTGCTTCATTTTCCATTCTGAAGCCTCTTTCACTTGTTGGTGCCATGTTTTGTTATCCCTCGACTCATCTAAGGCAAATGGCACTTTGCCCTGAATTTTGAGTACCATCCCCCTCAAGTCATCGAAAAATGATAATAAAAAAAGTCTAAAAAATAGAATCAGCACGGCATCCTAAGTAGATTTGAAGACTATTCACACAGAAGTTCTTCTGTTCAAGGTTGTGTGGTAAATTGATTAAAGCCATGGTGTAGTGACCTAGCGCTAGCAGACCTCTAAATATTTTTTTTCATTTTTTTTTTTTTTTAATTTTATTATTTTATTTTTTTTCATTTGGGATGTTGAACCCTTAAAACTTATTTTCCCCTACGTGCTTAATGAGTACCAGCTCATTCCTTTGACTTGTAATGTTTAGAGGGAGGGCAGGGTGGGGCAGGAGTATGTTGGATATTGGGGAGAGTGGTTATTTTGACACCATTTCTATGGGACTTTTTTTTTTTCATTGTATTGTTTTACAGATATCCATGAGATTTGAAATGACATTTTTAATAAAGAACAAAATGGAAAAAAAACAAGCTTGTAAATTTTGCCCCCCACTGCTTCATGGGTTTAAAAAATGGACCTGTTATCTCAGAATTTACATTTAATCACCCTTTTCCTTTTTTCGCTTGGGGTGGGGGGGGGAAGAAATTGTTTTAAATTTGAGGTGTACAACTTGCTTTGTTACAATAATAAAACTTACTGTGTATAAATGTGTGGGTGCATTCAAATTTAAGAAAATATAATTCAGGTAGTGGCAAAGGCACCAGGGTTAACTACTTGTAAAGTCTGTCAGCTGGAGAAGGATTTTGGAGTCATAAGCAGGCTTGAAGCAAAGTCCTCTGTTAGTAGGCGATGGGTGATTAAAGCCAAGAAGGTGTGCTCCGATTCCTTGAAATTGCTTTTTGTTATCCTGTCAGGCCAGTCACTTGGCTGGAAGGCCCAACCTAGAGAAAAGTGACAAAATCAGTTACCTGAAAGCAAGATGTAACTTGTTCAGGTGTTTCAGAGAAGTGGGATACATGTCAGTGCAGGTTAACCATAAAAGCCTGAATTCAGATGTACTAAATCCTGACTTAAAAATGAACTATTTTCCAGATCTGTATTTAATAACTTCAAGTACTTTAGCTTGGATAAAAAACACACTTGAAAGAAATGTGCATGTCCCAACGTTCATTACACACAAATGCAGTCAACCATACCTTTAAAAAGTAAGGGGTGAGTATCTAAGGAAACATCTAACCTATATAAATTTGTTCAAAACAAGCATCTTTATTTAAAAGAAGGCCTAATCAGATATCTCTAAAGTTGTGGCCAAGTAGGGCTGTATATGTGACTGAGTTGCAGTCATAAGGGATCAAATTTATGTTTCAGATTGTGGCACAGATGGTATAACACAAGGACGCAGGTGCCTTAAACATGCATTCTTTTCAAAGGCCACCAGGGGGTAAATCTTGTGGCCTCAACGGGACTTCTGGTCCTTTACAAGTCTGGGAAAACTACCCTCTGCTCTGCCCCTGGAAAACTTTTTTTTGTTTTTGGTGCGCTAATGGCTCAGTCGCTCATTTTGGGGCATAATAAAACATTTCATAAACGGGTCATTCAAAATGTCAAGAAGATTATCCAGGATACGCAGATAGGACATAGTTTGGCAGATTGCAAACAATAATTTTTCATCTGTTTAGATAAGGTTTTACTACTAATATACAGTTTAAACATATTGGATTAACTTGTTTATATGACTGTAAAGCACAAAAATATGCAACCAACATATAAAGACGTAAACCAGAGTTATTATAGTTGTTTATTTCTAATTTATTTTGAGTTTTTATTTTTACTTTAGTTTCAGTGCTGGTTTTCATTATTATTATAACAAAAAGCACTTTTGTCAGCAGTGTCATTTTCAGAACATCAAAATCTCAATAAACATTTTAATACTAGAAGATTAATGTAAACACAATATTTAATCTCAGCAAAAACTGAACCAAAGCGTTTTAAGGCGGATTATGATGACAGATTAAAACTATTTTTCCCGGTACATTGTATTTGAAAGCTAACCAAACTAGTTTTAGTGAAATAAAACTAAAGGAAAAACTAAAATTAGCTATGAAAGAAGATTTAAGTTAATAAAAATAAAAACAAGACTTTGCTAAATAATGATAATAATGAGCTAAAAAAATATTGTTTAATAAATATTTATCAAACATAAATAGATCAATTCAAAGTGTTTTAAAGACGTATTGGTTGGTTATAAAAATAACTAAAACATACTTATTTCTTTTATGTTTTACATTGAACAAATTTATAAACGTTTTAAACATATTTTAGCCAGACGGAAAGTTACCAAAATATTTTTTCGAGTTACATTCAAAGTTTCCGAGAAAGTTTTAGATTTAACAGTAGATCGATGTTTCGATTTAGCTTACTCACACATGAGTTTAGTTAACTGTAATAACCCTGATGTGTAGGTTTACCCACCTAGGTGAGTGTTACACCTGGGACAGGTGGCCACGGTCCAGGAGAACCCCGGGAACCAGGAGAAGCGCTTGTCTGACGGCCAATGCTGAGTAACATCGGCTTTTCTGAACGTGATCACCTCAAACCGGTGTCCGTGGGGATTTTCAAACAGCTGAACGTTAACCCTCCGACCCCCGAGCAGTGTGTCGTTGCGGCTGGAGAGCGCCAGCCGGCTAGGCACGGAGCGGATGTCCGTCCCGAGTGCTAACTCGTGTCCGCAAGCCCTGCACAGGATCAGGGTGTCCGTGCTGCTAGCTCCTCGGTCCTGTGCCTCCGCTGCAGCAGCCGCAACACACGCTTCACCGAGCTTGTGGGCGCTGGGGTAAAACAGGAGCATAAAGAAAACGTACTGCCCCAGCATGTTTGTTAGCAGCCACGCGCACATGGAAGGCTAACCACAAGCTAAGCTAACTGAAACTCTTAGCAGCTTTGTTTTTAGCCGACACGGCGCATGGAGCGAGAATTAATAACTGGCTGTCAGATATCAGCACAAATGATAAAACATATAAATCTCTGACCACTAAATTTTTGTGTACATTTATTATATCGTTTCGATTGGTGGACTTTGTAGCGGCTGGCTAGTATAAACGTGTTAGCTTAAGATTCGGAAGTGCCACAGAAATAAACAGGAAGTGGATTTATCTCTAGCTCATCTCAGACGTCGAACACTGCGGTGTTATTTAACTGGAAAACGGCTATTTACTTTAGCAGAAAAGCCACCAGTATACATGATCTGAATTTGAAAAGTAAAGCATTTCACAATACGTTCATTTTTTTGGTCTGGGTTTTTTTTTGTTATAACGGTTTTGTGCTGCGTTCATGATACATGGTTTCAAACGGAATTCCCGAAACCGCCACAACAAAGGTATCTGCTGCAGCTCCATTGTTGCTATAAATATGTAACAACTTATCTGATTTTATAAAGTTTAAGAGATAGATTATTCCTATTCGAATTGACGCGTGAAACCATTTAAGAAGGGTATTAATTTATTTGGATTTTTTCCGACACCACCTAAAGGCAGCGTGGACTTCACGATTACTTTTAATGGTTTCCACGGACAACGCTTGCACAAAACTTTCCTCTCAACCAATCACAAAGCGGGATCTTGCAAACGAGCCAATCATCAGGCCGGTCGTTTGTCAAGCCAAACAACCGTTTTCTTTACAGGGAGAAGCCGAGATTCATCTTGGAAGCAGACTGTGTATCATGATAAAAATGTGCTTTTTAATACTTATTTTAACGGGTCATTAATGTGGCCAAACGGGGTCTATGAGAATGAAAACCCGGGATTCACCTCCGTCGCCGCCACCGGTTCACCTCCACGTACTGGAGACTACACCTATACATGTTCACATGAGGAGGAGTCCCAGCAAAACCCCACAGGTTACTGTACTTTATAGATTCGGG